TGGGAGATATCGAGCGGTCGACCTCCTTTTTATATTAAGGATGAAGAATACGACCTAAGTTTAGCTATCGAAATTTTGGGTGGACTTAGAGAAACGATCATTCCTGGCACACCTGAAGATTATGTGAATATCTACACTGGTAAATATATGATTATAAAATTATTTATAAGAACACATAATGATTAATAAATATTTAACGAATTTTAGGGTGCTGGGATAATGAGCCAGATAATCGTCCATCAATGGATCAAGTAGTTGATAAATTAAATGCAATTATATCAAACATAACTGAAAACGATCAAATGAATAATTCTGAATCAAATAACTTCCAAGCTGTTTCTAATGTAAATAATTCATTAGGAGAAGATTCTCAAATCATTCGATTTGATCAGATGAATTATCAAATGAATATTTATGTTTCAAATAATTCTGAACTTATTCATCATTTTGATCAGATGGAAGTAGAATTAGATAATGATGTGTCAGATATTATTTATGATGATATAACCAAAAGTTTAAGGATTACGGAATCTAATATCGATGACATATTAAACGCCTTAGGAGGGTTACAAAGATATCGAAAATTAACAAAACTTGACTGCTCTAGTATTCAAATAACTATCCTACCAACATTACCTAACTCCTTAACAAAACTTGATTGCTCTGATACTCCAATAACTATCCTACCTACTTTACCCAACTCCTTAATAGAACTTGATTGCTATCATACTCCAATAACTATCCTACCAACTTTACCCAATTCCTTATCAGAACTTTATTGCTTTCGTACTAGATTAAGTATCCTACCAACTTTACCCAACTCTTTAACGAAACTCCATTGCTCTTTTACTCCAATATCTATCCTACCAACATTACCCAACTCCTTAATGGAACTCCATTGCTCTTCTACTCAAATAACTTTCCTACCAACTTTACCCAACTCCTTAATGGAACTTAATTGCTCTTATACTCCAATAACTATTCTACTATCTTTATCCAATTCGTTAACAATACCATGGTGTTCTAGTATCCTACCCAACTCCTTAATAAATCTCCGGTGTTATAATACTAAAATAACTTTCCTCCCAACTTTACCTAACTCTTTAACTTATCTTGACTGCTCTTATACTCCAATAACTTCCCTACCAACATTACCCAACTCCTTAAAAATGCTTTATTGCTCTGGTACTCCAATAACTTTCCTACCAACTTTACCCAATTCCTTAATAAAACTCTGGTGTTATAATACTTCAATAACTATTTTACCAACTTTACCCAACTCCTTAATGGAACTTAATTGCTCTGGTACTCCAATAACTATCCTACCAACTTTACCCAACTCCTTAATAGAACTCCATTGCTCTTCTACTCAAATAACTATCCTATCAACTTTACCCAACTCTTTAGAAATGCTTTATTGCTCTAATACTCCAATAACTATTCTACCAACTTTACCCAACTCCTTAATAAAACTTATTTGCTCTAATACTCCAATAACTGTCTTACCAACTTTACCTAACTCCTTAATAAAACTCTGGTGTCATAATACTAAAATAATTTGCTTACCAACATTACCCAACTTCTTAATGGAACTTGATTGCTCTTATACTCCAATAACTATACTACCAACTTTACCCAACTCCTTAAAAATGCTTTATTGCTATAATACTTCAATAACTTTCCTACCAACTTTACCTAACTCCTTAATTTATCTTGATTGTATTGATACTCCAATATCTAATTTACCAAATATACCCGATTTCTTAAAGTATATCTATCCTCAAAATTTAATGATTCAATACCTTAATAACTAACCTAATAACACTTGCATTACAAATGCTTTAAAATTATTTTCTTTAAATATTCAAAGGTTTTTATTTGGTTCTTATTAAAATTTTCTTAATTAATCACATCCTTTTTATTTGTTTTTTTTTAATTCATTTTAAAGACCAATAAATTAAATTTTTAATAAAATATATTTTAATATTATTTGAATATTTTATTTTTTAGTAATTTCTATATTTAACTTTATTTAAATAATATACTTTATTAATATATTTATAATAAATAAAATAAATAATATTAATAATTAAAATAAAACTAGTTTGAAAAATGACTTTAAATTCTATTATTCAATTATATTTTAGAAAATCTAAATTTAAATTATAAAAATTTATTAAAACATAAAATGAAAAGGTGAAACAAGAAGTTTCCTATATTCTTAAAAGTTATAAAACATATTTGACAAGTTAGATTTATATGATATATACTTTTTAAGTTATATGATTCAAATCTTTATTATAAAAAGAAACACAAGCTAAGATAAATAGCAAATTTTTTTAATTAAGATATAAGAAATGATAAAGATTTATAATTTATGAATATTGTATAATGTATTATGTTAACTAATGTAAATAAATATTATATTATATCTATAACTTATTGTTTATATTATTATCTTTTATATTTAAATTCTTAAATTTACAAGAACTTTTATTGTTATTCTTTATTAAAGATTTAAAATCTTCAATGTGTATGTATTATTCTGCATATAGTCAAATTTTAACATTTAAGAAAAAAATTTTAGATGATTATCATTTATTTAATTTTTTAAAAACCATTCCATTTAAGAGTATTTGGATTTTGAAAAAATAATATATATTAAATTTAGCTATTTTATATAAAATAAATGGTTTTAAATTTTATTTTATTATTTAAAACATTGGTATCTTTCATAATAATCTTTATTGTTACTTCACGATAACTTAGAAATAAACATAAAGAAATAATATTATTTATTGTAGTTATACAGATCTTCAGATATTTAAAGTGTAATAAATCTTCATTTATTTAAATTTCATAACATAAAAAAGAAAAGTATTGTTTACCAATAAATGTCTTTCATCTTAACTTTATTCTAATAATTTTACAATATATTTTTAAAAATATATTAGTAGCTAATGTTGATTGAGTATTTGAATCTTATTATTGGAATTATTAAAATTTTATATAAGTAAAGTATTTGTGATTTTATTTGTAAATAGGATTAAAATAAAATATCAGATAATTTTTATTAGATTTAACTAGAGCTCCAAATCAGATCAGGTCAACCTATAATCTAACCCGACTGACCTGAAAAATCCAGATTAGGTAGGCAAATTTTCAGGTCAATATCAGGTCAGGTCAAGCTTATGACCCGATCTGATAAAATTCAGGTCAAGCAATCAAAATAAACGAAATAAAATATTTAAAAAAAATTTTTTTTGCTTATTTTTTTTTTAAAACATCTTTAATTTTATTTAATATACTTTTTTTTTACATTCTAATAAAGTTGTTTGTATAATTATTTTGTAATTTATTATAATCAAAAAATTAAATTTTAAATTATAAACATTTTTGCAATTTTATTGTTCACTAATTTAATTTTAATTTTTTTTTTATCTGTTCAATTGATTCAAAAAGATATTTGAGCAATTTGGTCAAAGAAAATTGACTTTTATTGTGTAAGTAAAGTTGCTCAGCAGGTCAAAAATATATGCATATAAATTTTTATTATGATTGGATTAATAAATATAAAGTTATGTATATTTTTCATGATTGTATTATCTCACAAAATATTTTATTTTTTTATTTGTTTAGTAACTTCAAATAGCAATTTAAGCATTTAGTCATAGGAAATCAACTTTGATCGCGTAAGTAAAATTGTTAAGCAGATTTGATAATATGTGCATATAAAGGTTTATTATAATTGGATTAATGGTTATAAAATTATATACGTTTTTCATATTTATATTATCTCACAAATTTTTTTATTTATTTTTTATTTATACAGTGACTTCAAAGAGCAATTTAAGTATTTTCATTAAGGAAAATTAATTTTGGTCATGTAAGTGATGTTTTTCAGTAAGTTTAAAAATATATATATATAAAATTTTATTATGATTAGATTAATGATTGTAAAGTTATAACCTTTTTTTAATTGTATTAGCAATTACCACATTTGCATATTTATCACAACTTGTAATTTTAAATTTTACAGTTAAAATAATTATATTAGTATCTTTTTTTTTTAAAAAAAATAATCAAATGTAAAAATGTATTAATATTTTTTTATATTTTTTTAAAAAAATATTAAACAAAGTTAATAATTGTTTAGTTTTCTTTTTTAGACAGGTTAGGTCAGGTCGAATTAGATCAAATGTATATTTAATTCAGGTTAATTTTATGTCTGACCTAACCTGACTTTATTAGGTTAGGTCAAGTCAATTATCTGATCTAACCTGACCTGTTTAGAGCTCTAAATTTGACAAAGTTTTAGTTAATTATTTTTTAAATATAACTGAGGTAACTTTTAAATTATAACGTCTAAAATCCCAAAAAAAAAATTCTTGAATAATTAATGAAGATATGTTAATGAATAAAAATTGGTAGTGATCATTTGTGATCATTACTAAATTTACTAACTTTTTCGCTCAATTAGATTTATATTATACAGATTAATATGAATTAATTAATACAGTCAAACTATGTAATGATATTATATACATTGATAATTACATGTACTGATAAATTTTTTATGTACCATTTTATTATTAAGTAAAAAACCTTTATATATCGATATTACATAAGATTTCACAATGTAAAATATACTGATATTTTTCTTTATCACTTTATAATTAATAAATAGTAAGATTTACTGATATTTTAGGTTATACCAGTATAAATTCATACTTAACGTGGCATAATGCATCTTTACTTACATTAAAATTATGTCCTAACTACAGATAAAAGAAATTTAACAAAGAAAGAGTTGTTTTAACATATGGGAACGTTTCCAGTAAAATCAAGTTATGAGGCATAGTAAATCATATGATCCGTAATGTGATTTTACTGGAAACGCTCCCATATGCAAAAAAAAGACAACTCACCACAACCTATTCAAGAAGAACTTACCACTTTATACAAAATTAAACAAAATACTATTTCAGATATTTTTAAAAAAAAAATGGCTGAATGTAAATCCAGAATCAGAATTGTCAAATAAACAAAAAGAAAAATCCATTTATTTTTCTCAAATAGAAGAGGCACTTTCATTATGGATAACTAATAAACTTGCTGCAGACCTTATTATTAATACTGATATTTTATGTAAAAAAACCAGATTTTTTGTACAACAATTTGAATTTAATAATTTTACAACTAATAATGAATAGATTAATGAATTTAAGCAACATCATAATTTAAAATAATATATTAAATAGGGTGAAGCAAAAAGTGTATCATTAGAAACCAGTATTTGAAAATGATCTATTTATTTGACCATTTAAATGATTTGTCTATTCCTTTGTTATAATCATAAATCATTTAGCATTTATCATTTTGCAAATGATCTAAATGACAAATAATAAATAATCAAAATCATTTAAGATCATTTAAATCATTTGTCATTTAGTCATTTGCTTTTACAAAAAAAATTAGCAATACTCTTAAAAAATCACAAATTCTTAGCGAGTTTCACAATTTTATTTCCTAACGATGAAGGCGTGACCCATGCTGCGCCGATCAACTACAACAAATCATGTGATTTGAAATGTTTGGCCGATCTGACCGATATGACAAATTGGACAAATCTGACAAATATGACATATTGG